CAGCCTCCCAAGCTGCTGGGATTACAGGTGTGTACCACCACACCCAGCACCACTGAACTTATTTTTGAGTTCTTGATCTTGGGCAAAAAGCAAAGGTCCTTATGGTGATTATATTCTAAATATTCTTCTTTAAAATGGCAGAATTAACTGGTGCAGAGAAATTTTTACTCATTTTAAATATTTAATGGTTTCTAATCTCTGAATCTTTACTTCCATTTCTCAGTAATTAGTCTGCTTCCCTGTTTTTTTTCCCCTTTTAAATATATCTTGGTTTCCTATTACTGTGGAATAAAAGTCATCAGATATTTCTTATTTGGCTTCTGATAACATTTACAGTTCCATCTCCTGCTATTCCACTGCTTACATGATTGAGTGGTTTGCATATGTCTCTGCCTGAAATCTCTTCCATTATCCAGGGCCACCCACCTAATGACATTGTCTCTCATTGCTTTGTATCTTAACACATTTTGTTTATTGCATAATGTGATTATCTACATGCATGTTTGTGTCCTTATTTAACAAACAAAAATAAGATGAATGTCTTGTTCATCTTTAGATGGACTGTGTAGTGGATGTTGTTTATCTGAACAAATAAAATAAGGTAGAAGTTCAAATTTTTATGTCAGTGTTTAAGTTCAGTGTTTCCAGTTTGACAAATCTTGCCTTTTATTTCTCTTTCCCTCGTTTTCAGGGCAGTTTTGTTAGTGGTATCATTTTCTCCCATGATTTTATATGGTTCTAACTTTTATGGGGCTTTAGTGATTATTAAGTATTTGGAGGGCCATTCTTACCAGAGCTTTGTAAACTCTGATTTTTTTTTTAGGTGAGGAAATTAGACTAAAATTTTATCTGAAGGACTAAGAGCACATAATTAATAAGGGGTAGTAAGACTCACCAGGTTTTTAGATTTCTTGTCTAGCATTGGTTTCACTATGTAAGTTCTCTCTCAGTTAGTTATCCTCCTTTCATTGGCTGGCTGAAGCTTTTCATTATACAGTTCTTCATTGTGCTGCTTCAATACATACACTGACAGAATTTTTACATATTGTCAAGGTGTATCTAAGTACATGTTTAAAAAAAGTTTTAGGTCCGATAATTTAGGTTAAAATTATTTAAAATGAAACCCAAATATCTGGTTTGAAAACATTCATTTTCACAAAAGTAAATGTTACAGTGCAATTCTGATAAAGAATGAGGAGTTTGTGGTAGCAAGAAGTTAACAGGATTATTTGACTTAGTCATAGAGGTTTTCTAAAGAGAGGTGAAAGATGGATACTAGTTTGCTTATCAAAAGGGGTGTGGAAAGCAGGAGATGAGAAGGAGTGTTCCCAATTGGGAAAGCTCATTATTACAGGGAGTAGCCAGTTTGGTTAGAAGCCTGGTCAAGGAGAAGTTTGATGAGGCTCCTATGGAAGTGGGGGGCCAGACCATACAGGGCATGATGGATTTAGAGATTTTGGTTATTATCCTAAAAAACAATTTATAAGCAGCTGTTGTGCCTGGACAAATTAAAAGGCATATGCAATAATTTAATAAGCAAATGTTTGCTTGATAGCTAGGGAAGGTAGAGATGGATATTAGGTAAATATAGGAGATAAAATTTGAGAGATAAAATTGATATAATGATGGTTTATTTGGATGGAAACATGTAGGAGGAGAGTTTCTGAGTTGGATTTTTGGCTTGGATAAGCAAATAGTGGTGTCACCATGAAGGCTATTTTAGGGAGTAAGAAAGAAACATCATGATTTCAGCTTTGTACCTTCCAGATATACTAGATCTAAAATAGACAATATAGGGCCACACCAAATGGAGAGGTACAGTTTGAATTAATTTGTATCATTTATATATAAGTAGTAATTGATGCCATGAGTATAGATAAGATCATTTCAAAAGAATACAGTGAGAAGAACATAGGGTTTAGAAAAAATAGAAAAAGCCAACAAGGAAACCATTAGAAGAGTGTTTCACAGAAAAGAAATGGCTAGGCATGACAAATGAGTGGTTAAACATGTGTTTTTACATATATAACAGAGGTAGGGAATTTCTAGGATTTCAGCTTTAGTCTTAATTTTATATGGCCTCTTTGTGAAGTAACAAATATATTAATGTATTGCATAATTTGTAAAATTGATAGTAATCATCCTGGAAAGGATTCAACATTGTTTGTCATCTGAATTAATTTTTGGCTGTGTTGTGGTTTTTAGTCTGATTGTAGTCAGTCAAGAATGGATTGTACATTTTTAAATCAGTCAAGAATGGATTGTACATTTTTAAATGTGTGTATCTGGTTTTATCAATCTATTTGGTTCTATGTGGCTTGCATGCAATGCATGTAATAGGTACTTATGTTTTCTGAATTGTTGAATTTAGATATTGGAAGAATTTACATGATTTTAATATTGTATTTTTTTTTTCATTTTCTTAGGATGGCTGGCTGTGGTGAGATTGATCACTCAATAAACATGGTTCCTACGAACAGGAAAGCGAATGAGTCCTGTTCTAATACTGCACCTTCTCTAACTGTTCCTGAATGTGCCATTTGTCTGCAAACATGTGTTCACCCAGTCAGTCTGCCTTGTAAGCATGTTTTCTGCTATCTGTGTGTAAAGGGAGCTTCGTGGCTTGGAAAGCGATGTGCCCTTTGTCGACAAGAAATTCCTGAGGATTTCCTTGACAAGCCAACTTTGTTGTCACCAGAAGAACTTAAGGCAGCAAGTAGAGGAAATGGTGAATATGCATGGTATTATGAAGGAAGAAATGGGTGGTGGCAGTATGATGAGCGTACTAGTAGAGAGCTGGAAGATGCTTTTTCTAAAGGTAAAAAGAACACTGAAATGTTAATTGCTGGGTTTCTGTATGTTGCTGATCTTGAAAATATGGTTCAGTATAGGAGAAATGAACATGGACGTCGCAGGAAGATTAAGCGAGATATAATAGATATACCAAAGAAGGGAGTAGCTGGACTTAGGCTGGACTGTGACACTAATACCGTAAACCTAGCGAGAGAGAGTTCTGCCGATGGAGCGGACAGCATATCAGCACAGAGTGGAGCTTCTGTTCAGCCTCCAGTGTCTTCTGCAAGGCCCCTAACATCAGTAGATGGCCAGTTAACCAGTCCTGCAACACCATCCCCTGATGCAGGTACTTCTCTGGAAGACTCTTTTTCTCATTTACAACTCAGTGGAGACAGCATAGCTGAAAGGAGTCATAGGGGGGAAGGAGAAGAAGATCATGAATCACCTTCTTCAAGCAGGGTACCTGACACCTCCATTGAAGAAACCGAATCAGATGCCAGTAGTGATAGTGAAGATGTATCTGTGGTTGTTGCACAGCACTCCTTGACCCAACAGAGACTTTTGGTTCCTAATGTAAACCAGACAGTAGCTGATCGATCAGTTCCTGATCGATCAGTAGCAGGGGCTGGAACAGTGAGTGTCAGTGTCAGATCTAGAAGGCCTGATGGACAGTGCACAGTAACTGAAGTTTAAATTTAAGAAGTTTTCAGCTCCATGCTCAAGGTTGAAATGGTTATCTGTAAATTTCTGCCCACATAACGTTATACTCATCCCTAGTAGTGCATTTGGGGAGTTGGGGTGGGAAGGGGTGAGGGAAGGATAGATCTGAAATTAAAACGTCTAACATGTCTGTTGAGAAATTTATTTAATGTAAGGAACTTGGGTGTTAATAGTTGAGAGCTGTTTAGTTTCCCATTTTCTTGATGTTTGTTTACTTTATAGTTGGTTTTTTTTTTAAGTTTCTTTAGTTCTTTTGGCCAGTGTGTGTATATTATCTGTGCATTAATAGTCGTCATCCAACTCTTGCATTACCTTATTTTTCTGCATGGATTGGCATAAAACCATTACTAAAATTTGGCACCTGTGAGATGTTTGGTATCATTATGAGCAGGAAGCTTAATGTGGAAATAGATGTGAATTTGGGATTTAAAAATAGAAGAATAACAACTATTATATAGTAAAGTTATTAAAATGGATTGTGAAGAAAACAGTTAATAACTTATGTTTCAGAATCTTTGTAACACACTTCATGGCGTTCCCAGAGGCTTTGCTGTCTAGTCCTTGTAGTTTGAGGTTTTTCTTGATCTGCATTTTTCTTTTTGATTAAAAAATTTATAATTTAATAAATACTAGAGTTTATTGAAAATAATTTGTCTCTGGTTTGAGTGTGGAAAATGGATGGAAAGAGTTTTGATATTTGTGGCCAAAAGTTACTAACAAGGTAGTGGTTTGAACTGATTGTATTTCACTTAAATAGTCACCTGCTCTGAAGTTTGATTTCTTCCTAGAGAATATTTATTTATTTATTTTTTTTTTTTAAAGAGAATTTATTTATTTATTTTTATTTTTTTTTCGGCGGACACAACATCTTTGTTTGTATGTGGTGCTGAGGATCGAACCCGGGCCGCACGCATGCCAGACGAGCGCGCTACCGCTTGAGCCACATCCCCAGCCCCTAGAGAATATTTAAACAGAATCGGTAAGGCAGTCTGTAGGTATGGAAATAAACCTACAGCCTGTGAAACAATTTTAAGAGTTCTTAAATAGCCAATGTTTTATATTTTCTGTAGCAGTCTTGCACTTACTTAGTAAGTCTTATACTTAGTGTTCTTACATCTGAATTACATGGCAGACTTGCGTAAAAACAGCATTAGTAGACACAAATTCATTTTATATACAATATTGTAGGTCGGAAAATCCACTTTTTTCTTGGCAAGAGAGGAAGTATTGGGTTAGCATGTAATCTAGAATGTCCTCAAAACATCAGTCTGTCTGACTATATTTTTGGAACTCAAAAAGCAGGATCATGTTGATTTAGGATATGCAAGGTAGTTTTACTATGACTCAAATGGAATTAAATATAATAGCAAATAAAAGCAAGAATTAAAAACTCACTAATTTGAAGTTTTCTTCTTGTGAAAGGTTAGAATTGGGACTTAACTCTTTGAAACACATTTTTAAAGAAGTAAATTACTAGGATCATAAAAGTTTGAGCTGTGCATTTTTATTGAATTTACTTTTAAAAAATAGCTAGTTACAAAAGAAGAAAAGTTGTTTTCCAGAAAAACAAATCTAGTATAAAAATGCAGATTTGTTATAGGATGCTTCATTAATCTTTACATCTCATCTTTAAAACAGAAATTCCAGGAAACAAAAGAATGAATAATTTAGATAGCTGATGTTCCATATCATGTCTCCTCACTGATTGATTAATAGATTTTTTTTAAAACAAAGGGTCATTTCTCACTAATTTTACTTGAGCTGCTTACAGCAGAAATGATTAATTATACCTTTTCTTATTTTCATATTCTCTTGATCCCTGCCCACTTTTTTTTTGAATAACAGAGTTCATTAAGTTATTTCTAGGTAAGACAGAACAAAACATTTATGAAAAACAGCTCCAGAAGTAGGTTTTATGTAGAAGCTTTTCCTTTTGCAAGCTTATCTTCAGTTATAGATTAAAAACTATTATGAGAATTTAGGAATTGACAAATAATTTTAAGCAAAAAATTATAAGAAAAGTAAATCTGAATTTTAGTAGCAGACTTCAAAGTAATTCTATCATATTTAGTATCATTTAACTTTCATATATATTAATCATTGAAGATTTATTTGTAGTACATAAACATTTTTAAAATCTATTTATTAAATTTTCCTTTCCTAGCAATAGCCTCTAAATTTGCAGGTCCCCCCCACACTGTTCCTAAAAGATCTCTCTCATTCTGTAATGCCTCCTCTAAATACAGCTCTCTGCCTGAACAAACAGATTTTTTCAAAGCTCTAATGACTTCTGGTGGCCCATTGACAAATTGCATTAGCCACTCTTGTGCTTCTTCTAGAGATTTAGTTTCATCTGAAGACTGCAAGACCTCTTCCACCATTCCTATGTTTAAAGCTTTTTCTGAATTCAGTTTGAGGGCCCCACTTAACACTTTGAGAGCTTGTCTGCTGCCGATGATTTCAACCAGCCGGCTGGCCCCTCCCCAGCTTGGAATTATGCCCATCTCCTTGTGGACAAATCTGATCTCACTTTCTGGAGTCATTAACCTGCAAAAGCAAAAAAGGATAAAATATAACTACATATATGTACTATAATCAAGTATTACCTCTTCATAATGTGACATGAAATCACTGTTCTTTTTAGGTAGATACATAATATTAAAAACTGAATATTAGAAAGATGAGGTTACTCCATCTAAAATTTTTAATATATTTACTTGTTTTAACATGTGCTTGCTTATTCTTAACTTTGCAAATTTATGTTTATTTCTAAAAGCCCAATTTTTTTCTAAAGTGAGTAGAGTCCTAATGAAAAAACCCGGAACAGGTGAAAGTATGGGCATCGGTATGTTTGTATCCACTCACACATACATATACACAAACATACACACACACACACAAAATACATAGTAAGTTAGGGTTTTCAAAGTCCTCAGGAAAAAAATAATAAATTTCATCTTATAGCCCAATATCTGGCAAGTATTTACTGAGCACTGCCAATGTCAGGTAGTGTTTAGATGCTTGAAGACTATAACAAAATAAAATTCTGTGCTTGGAGAGAGAGGCACCACACAATCTGCAGTGATAAGTGCTATAAAGAAAACAAAGTGGGGCAAGGAATTAATGAATGAGAATACATATGTTCTCAACATTTAGAGAAGTGCAAAAATCTGAAAAAGTGTCCAAGAAGCAGCAATTCCAAATGCAAAAGTCTTCAACTAGGACTGCTCTGTATCTCTGAGGATGGGGCCAGTGTAACTGGAATAGAGAAAGCAAAGAGTAACACAGAACAAAATCAGAGGAGCAGACTTACAAACCTCCATAATGAGCTCAGACTTCATTCTTTTTTTAAAATATTTTTTAGTTATAGTTGGACACAATACCCTTATTTTATTTATTTTTACATGGTGCTAAGGATCAAACCCAAGGCCTTGTACATGCTAGGCAAGTGCTCTACTGCTGAGCCATAACTACAGCCCCAGACTTCATTCTTTAATTGTGAAATTTCTTAAAGGGATTTTGACAAATTAGCATCTCACATTTTGTAAGAGTTGTTCTGGTTGCTGTATAGACTAAAATTAGCATTTAATATCACATACCAGTTGTTTAAGGAAGCTTATGTTAATCCTTCAGAACAACCATATGAGGTATGGAAATATCCTCATTATAGATGAAGAAATCCAGGGAACAAAAGTTAAATGAGAGTATGTGTTGTATGTACTCAAAAATTTTAACTTTGTGGCACAGGGATACCAGTAAAAACACCAGTAGTCATCTGGGTTAGACTGATAGCAGTGATTTCCTATAGCAGGGGTTCTTTTTCCCCAAATTGTGGGATTTTTATGAGTATGACCATTGATTAATAAGCAACAAAAGGAACAACAAAAGGAGTTAGTTTAAAAAAAATGGTGGTCATAGCAAAAGGCTTCATGTTTGCCTAGGAACATTTTATAATATTAAGAGACTGAGTAAACCTATATAGTTAGGAAAATACCAAATGAGTTTTTGAATGCATGCTTTCACTATGTTAAAATGTCATTCTGACTAAATGTCATATCAAAATTTTAACTTTTTAAGAAAAATGATTGTTTTCAAACTACTTATTACAAAAAGAAGACCTTAAATCTTGCTTTCCAAAACGTTAAACGTTCAAATACCAGGTGATTTAGTTCTCTTAGCACAAAGAACAACAATCTTGAGGTTTTTGACACTTTATAGGAGAAATACTCCAGAAGAGAGAGATCTATGAAAATAGTTTTGGGGCTGGGGCTGTAGCTCAGTGGTAGAGCACTTGCATCACATGTGTGAGGCACTGGGTTTGATCTTCAGCACCACATGAAAGTAAATAAATGAATAAAGATATTGTGTCCACCTACAACTAAAAAAATATTAAAAAGAAAAAGAAAATAGTTTTGATAAATCATTTTTAAATGGGGCAGAAGAATTAACAGGTCTCATTAAGAATCTGAATGTAGCCATAAATTGTTAAGAGGAGTACTGACATCACAAACTGTCAAAAATTTAAGGACTCAAATCATAGAAATAATAATGTCTGACAGCCTTGCAGATAGGAATATTGTTAATATTTAGCCCAGTCCTATGAAGCTTTTCACAGAATGAATTATGTCACTGTTCCAATTAAATTGTGGAATTCACACTGATGTTGGTTCAGAACTATGCCTACAATGGAGTAAAAGACTGTGTTAGGAACCTTAAGTGAACATAAATATTGGTTATTGTGCTATGCAGGGTAGGTCAGTGATAGAGTGCTTGCCTAGCACTTTGGGTTCCATCCTCAGTGCTGGGGGAAAAAATTAGTTAACGTCCTAGGTGTTGGTATAATGTATACGGTTTATACAACAAAACTTATTACCAACTTAAACACATTTTAAAAATTCTTTGCTTCTAAAGAAGACTCTTCATTATGATCTTCATACCATGTTCTTTCTCCTTTGTTCTATTTTACAAAATAAAATGCCTTTTTAAATACTATTTCATGATTGTAACAAATCCTGAGGTAATCTTTGTAAAATTATTTGTTGTGATCAAACTGACAGCTATTCTTTAGGGTGTGCCTTTGTATTGATACACAGTAAATAAGTATGAGAAATCACTGGTGACAGAAGAACATAATTGTTTAACAAGGAGAGAAATACAGAACATTTAGAGGGTAACCTTTCATAGCACTTTTTTTATTATTATTGGTTGTTCAAAACATTACAAAGCTCTTGACATATCATATTTCATACATTTGATTCAAGTGGGTTATGAACTCCCATTTTTACCGCGTATACAGATTGCAGAATCATATCGGTTACACATCCACTTTTTTACATAGTGCCATACTAGTGACTGTTGTATTCTGCTGCCTTTCCTATCCTCTACTATCCCCCCTCCCCTCCCCTCCCCTCCCATCTTCTCTCTCTACCCCATCTACTGTAATTCATTTCTCTCCCTTGTTTTTTTTCCCTTTCCCCTCACTTCCTCTTATATGTAATTTTGTATAACAATGAGGGTCTCCTTCCATTTCCATGCAGTTTCCCTTCTCTCTCCCTTTCCCTCCCACCTCTCGTCCCTGTTTAATGTTAATCTTTTTCTCATGCTCTTCCTCCCTGCTCTGTTCTTAGTTGCTCTCCTTATATCAAAGAAGACATTTGGCATTTGTTTTTTAGGGATTGGCTAGCTTCATTAGCATAATCTGCTCTAATGCCATCCATTTCCCTCAAATGCCATGATTTTGTCATTTTTTAGTGCCGAGTAGTACTCCATTGTGTATAAATGCCACATATTTTTATCCATTCATCTATTGAAGGGCATCTAGGTTGGTTCCACAATCTAGCTACTGTGAACTGTGCTGCTATAAACATCGATGTAGCAGTATCCCTATAGTACGCTCTTTTAAGGACTTAAGGGAATTGACCTAAATATTATAATCTATAACATTTTAAATGTAGAAAACCTAATTTAAGAAAACATGATATCATCAGCAAGATACATGTACAAACAAACTATTCATTCATCTTACAAGAGTATAGACTAATTCTAGGGTTTCATGTAGTTTTACCTGTAATATAATTTATTGCAAGAGATAATCTATCAATTCATGTAAACAATAGAAGACAGCTCTTGTAATTCTATAGACTTACTACAGACTCAATTTATAAGATCATATTAAAGCCCCTTATTTGTATAAGAAAAGGAAATACTTATAAGTGTCTTTAGGTTGTTCATTATGTAAGCTTCCTGGCAATGTTTAAAATTTCCTCTGACATCCTGGGAGAGAAGAGATGAAGTTAATCAAATGTGGATGTTTCTTGTTACTGTCTGGATCGAAGCGTGTTATATGAGAAACTGTGTATAACTAGAGAAAGACTATTAATGTTTGGCTGGTGATAGAAGGTCGAAGTTGATACCTGGAAAACCATTCAGTGTGCTACTTACTACTTTCTAATAAATTAAGTCTACATTTTAGGGTTACCAAATGTAGTCAAGAAAAACAATTTCAAAAAGAACTTATCAAATTTTACTAAAATAGGAAATTTTTAGTAAAAGTTATACAAGAAAAATAGTTTATAAAAATGTTTGGTGTTGATGAAAGGCACAGTGAACTTGGTGATGAGGATAGAAATGCATATTGAATTGGGACATTATTCAACTATGCTGTGAAGTGCATAGACTATGTAGCCAGACTGCTTGGCTTGGAATCCTAGTCTGGCTACTAGACTGGCTGCATACCATACCTCATAAATTATAACAAAGTAAAAGGACACAAAATGAAATAACATAAGTAACCAAATAAGTACTTGAAAGTTTTTAAATAAAGCATTGACACTATAAAATTAACTAGCAATGGGATGTCATAAATTTAAAGGTTTTAATCACTGATTTAAATGTCTAAGGCTAGAAGTTGCTAGTCCTTTTACATTGCATATTAAGAGTCAAAGACAACAAGGCAAACTGCTGATTTGGAGAAAATATGGTATAGAAAACCACATAATTAGCATCTCTGACAACAAGCAATACTTTAAAATCATGTTTGAACATAAATACTTATTTGTTTGCACACATACTTTCCTGGCACCTTCTTCCCTTTTACTTTCTATTTGTCACCCATCATGAGACAAATTATAGAAAACAGAAGGAAAGAAACTAAAGATTACCCCTAAAACTTTTTCATTCCCAATCCTCAGATGACTGGCCTCATGAGGCTCCCTTCATTAACACAATGGTGTAGGCTGAAAGAAGGGAAATTTAAAAGGATTATATTCATTGTAAGAAAGGATCTGCTCAAATAAACACTGATTTAATGCTGGTGTTAGTATAAATTGGTAGGATCTTTCCTAGAGGACAAGTTGGCAATACATATCAAAAGTGTTGAATATTCTCTTAGTCTTTAAGTACTTGTACAACTTATAGGATTTATTTTCAGGAAATAATCTTCAGGTGGATAAGACCTTATGCATAGTTATCACGGCATTAAAAACAATACAGAAAAATTGGAATTGGAACAAAACAAAATCTGTCAATAGATACAATTACAAGTGGAA